TATGATAGGAGGGGACAAGCACTGCTTAATGTCCGGTTTTTTGAGGGAAACAAGTACATGTCGTGGAGCAAACTCCGCTGTTCATCCCGGATTGCCTAGCATTCCCTTTTCGATAGATAGCTGTGGTTCGTCCATGAGGCGGACAAGGATTTGCGTTGTGGCACAATTGAAGATGTCATGGCTCTGGCTTGGGATCCTAGATTGGCATCTTCCGCCCCACTGCCGTATCCATACCCATACCAGTAATCCGCGGCATCCGAGAAGAAGACGAAAAGTCCAGAATCTGCTTCTCTGACGCCGTAGATGCTTAGGTCTGCAAATTCGCACACACACCCACACACATACACACACACAACACACCACATATTCATCTACTACCAATATGAAAGGTCAGCAGCAGCCCTCACACATAGGACATGACAATCGGCGACTGACAACACCAATGCAGCCATCATTCTTGTCGGCGGCTTCGGCACCCGTCTGCGTCCTCTTGTAGGTGGTTGTCCTTTCCCTCACCCCTCACCGCCTGTCACGGCTGCTCACAGAAGGCGCAATGGCCCTTCCTCCCTCCCTCCCTCCCTCGTCCCTTCCTTCACCGGAAGACACAAGGGCCCAATGCCCACGAACAGCAGGGGGACTACCATCGCTCTTTCCCTTCCTGCAACCCACCCCGACTGACGACTGACGCCTCCACCAGACTCTCACATACCCCAAGCCGCTCGTCGAGTTTGCCAACAAGCCCATGATCCAGCACCAGATCGAGGCCCTTGCTGCAGCCGGCGTTACCGATGTCGTACTCGCCGTCAACTACCGCCCTGAGATCATGGCTGAGGCCCTGAAGACGGTATGCTCCTCATGCCTCGCTACCATGTCTCGCTACTGCTAATCGCACCAATAGTACGAGAAGCAGTACAATGTCACAATCACATTCTCTGTCGAGACTGAGCCGCTGGGCACCGCTGGTCCTCTCAAGCTTGCCGAAAACATTCTAGGCAAGGATGAGACGCCTTTCTTCGTGCTCAATGCCGATGTCACATGCGACTACCCCTTCAAGCAACTCGCCGAATTCCACAAGAACCACGGCGACGAGGGCACCATTGTCGTCACAAAGGTCGAGGAGCCCTCCAAGTACGGTGTCGTGGTGCACAAGCCAGGATCGGCCTCCAAGATTGAGCGCTTCGTCGAGAAGCCCGTCGAATTCGTCGGTAACCGCATCAATGCCGGTATTTACATCCTCAACCCTAGCGTGCTCAAGCGCATAGAATTGCGGCCCACTTCGATTGAGCAGGAGACCTTCCCGGCCATTGTCAAGGATGGCCAGCTCCACTCCTTCGATCTCGAGGGCTTCTGGATGGATGTCGGACAGCCAAAGGACTTTTTGTCGGGCACTTGTCTCTACCTATCATCCCTCGCTCGCAAGAACTCAAAGCTCCTGACACCGGCGTCGGAGCCCTATGTCTACGGCGGCAATGTCCTCATTGACCCATCCGCCAAGATTGGCAAGAACTGCCGCATTGGACCCAATGTCACCATTGGTCCCAACGTTGTCATTGGAGATGGTGTTCGTCTCCAACGATGTGTGCTGCTCAAGAACAGCCGTGTCAAGGATCACGCTTGGGTCAAGTCGACCATTGTCGGCTGGAACAGCACCGTTGGCAAGTGGGCGCGTCTGGAAAACGTGACGGTTTTGGGTGACGATGTTTCCATTGGTGACGAGGTCTACGTCAACGGTGGATCCGTCCTACCGCACAAGTCCATCAAGCAGAACGTAGACAGTAAGTTCACTCCCAAGCATCCTCATGCGTGTCCAAGCTGACCCCCTTACCAGCTCCCTCAATCATCATGTAATCGTTCTGGCTAGTCTTATTGACCTGATCGATTGCAACTTATGCCTTTTAATTACCTAGTATCTTCTTGTATATTCTGCATAACGCCTTCATAGAGATGGATGGTGTTCACCTGGCGTCTTTATTTCGCTATACGTTGAATCTTGGGTCATCAACGGCGGCTAGAATGGATTTGGACCTAGCGTCAGTAGAGTCACTTGCGAGTCTGATGTAGTACGAATGGGGCATGTGACATGCTAAAGAGTATCACAGATGTAAAGACATGATAATTAATAAAATACAAATTAGATCATGACACAAGGATGCTTATGCCGTCCGCCAGGTGCTACTAATCCTCTGACTCATCGAAACAACGCTGACTCTGACTCTCAGTTCTTCCTATGCTTGCTGCAATAGTAGTCCTCCCTTACGAGGCACCTACCCTGCAGCTTGCATCGCTTCTTCTGACGAGTAAGCCCTCTGCATTGCTTCTTCTCCTCCCTGGTATCCTGCTCAGCCGGCTGAGCTTCTTCGGTTCGAGGACGTTTGGGGCTCGAAGGGCCCGCCTCTACCGTCTCCTCATCTCTCGACCGCTTCTTCGAAGGCGTGGAGGGTGCCGCTGGTGCCGTCGCCGGAACAGCCTTTGGCAGAAACTGCTCAGTCTCTGCATCCCAGCTGGCAACGCCGTCCATGAGGCTGCCAAACGCCTCAGGAGCGTTGTCCAGCATCTGCAAGACTCGAGCTCTCAGCCGCAAGGCCTTGTTCCGCTTTTCATCCCGCACCAGCCCTCCATCCTCGAAGAAGCGCGAGTAAAACAGGCCGTCTGTGCTGTCTTCGTACAGCAGATTGACCAACGGTTCCATGAACTCCTCATAGTTGAAGAGGTGGTCGGCAAAGTGCACGTGGAGGTCGTCCAGCGTGTATCCGTTCACCTGGCCCATCCCCATGTAGAAGTCTGCAAGCGATGGCCCTGTGTAAGTCAACAGGGCGAACGACTCGCCATGCCGGTTGGCCTTGGTCATGCTCTGGAGGATTTCTAGGATGCTGGTGCGGTGGGTGTCGGCGTAGTCCATGAGGCTTGCGGGTATTTGGGTGCGGGCTTCAATGGGGAGGACGTTTGCATCTTCAAACATCTCCTTGACCGCGGCCCTGACGAGGCCTTTGTGGAGGGGTCGAGTCTCCTTGGGGAGGTAGACGGCCTCGACGGGGTTCTTGTGGTCGTTGGTGGAGGGCCGGGTGGTCAGGGTCGCAACCTGCTCGATGCGGTAGACCAGCATCTGCATATCCCGCGCATCGGGGAACTCATGGCAGATGTTCGCCAGCGTCGCCCCATTCTTCTTCACCTCGGCCTTGTTGAAGTAGGCCTCCAACTCCCTACGACTGGGCTGGGTATCCGTCGTCCTAGCCTTCTTGGCCGCGCTGTGTTCGCGCCAAACAAGGTATCGGACGTACATTCTAACCTGGAGTTTGTCCTCGCCTTCGACCCCTTGGCCCTCCATCTTGTTCTCGCGAATGTGATCGTCCCTCGTCTTGCGCAGCAAGCTGCTCTTGGTAAACGTGTCGCCCTTGACACGATCAAACTCCTCACAGGCCCGGGCCCACGTCGTGTTGCGTACGCCCTCGTCCTCGTCCAGCGGGTGTGCGTCATTCAGCTTGACGAACAGGACACGCGGGTCCGCAGGGAAAGGGTACTTGGCCTCATCTGGGTAGCTCTGGCGCCAGTTGCGCTTGAGCTGCTTGAGATGGGACTTTTGCAGCGACTGGCGGTACGGTCCGTGGGCATCGAGACGCCAGTTGGAGGAGCGGATGACATCGCAGGCTGCCGCGTAAAAGGCCGGATCGACCTGCGGATCGGGCAGCTTCATCATGGAGGTGAAGGAGCGCGGGCTGTTGAAGAAGACGGCGATGTTTTCGGTCCAGATGGGGACGGCTTCGTGGGGCTTGGGCACTATGATGGTGATGCGCTGGGAGGGGGAGAGGCTGCGCGGGAAGTCTTCAACGGGTATCTCATCGTCGTCGTCGGGGGCGGAGGCGAGGATGGAGGCGTCGGCGGCGCGGGGAGGTGATTCGAATTGAGGCTGCCGAGGTGATGGAGATGGGGTTGCGACCTCGGTGGGCGATGGGGAGTTGGTTGCTGGGATGTAGGAGGAAGACATTGTGTTGTGTGGAGATGTGACGAGAAAGAGATGAGTGTTGTGTGATGTGGAGATGTGGCGAGAGAGGATGGACGTCGTGTGATGTAGAGACGTCTTTTATTAGAGCCTTCTTGTGTGTTGTGTGTTGTGTGTTGCAGTGTTGTGACTTGTGTTTATAACCGTCGTATGCTGTCAAACTTTGATATCCGACAATGACAAACCGAACAGATGAAAATAAAATGAGTCAATTCTCGTTCAAGATGTAAGAATCCAAAGTATAGTACACTGGAACAAGGAAACAGACAAGAGCGGCAGAGGACGAGAGTGGGGGGCTTCTTATACACAGCCCTCAAGCTGCCCGTTTGCTCAACAGCACGGGGCTACTATTGTGACGCAACAATAGCTGTAAGACCTGGTATGTGCAGCAAAGTGTATGCGGGACCGTGTTCCCCAACTCTATTCGCCTGTCATCTCCGATTCCCTTCTTTCTCAAGAGAATAATGGGAATACCAAAAAAACGTGGCTGGTTGGTTGTGCGCACTGACACCAAATGTCACAATGGGGGACAATGAGATGGGGCTTTAATTCAGCAAGACTTTTCTGGGATTGGGGCTGTTATGCTATCCCGTTGGGGCGATTTGCTTGTTCGAGTGGACAAAGGGACAAAGGCAGCGTGGGTGAGATCAATGAATGGAAGGCTGGGGTGAATGGGACTGAATATGGAAGGCACGGGATTGTAGCGTAGCTTTGCTTTGTGTTGAGATGGGAAGGGACTGGCTATTGAGAATCATGGCACTGAGCGCCCGTTTGCGATGTAGAGTAGGTGACGGCGTTTACCTACACCTCACTCGCTTTATTGTTGTTGTTGACGCAAACCTTGGCAAACGGTATTGCTCTGTATGGAACCTCGTAGTCCTTGTGCTGACATGTTATTCCGACTGTATTGTGAGTATGAGGTGAAGTGGGATAGTCGGCGATGTGGTTCTGCAGAAGTTGCGTTAGATGAGCCGTACGGTAGCATGTCGGAACTGTACCATGAGTGTTCGAAAACCAGAGAAAGATGTCATTGTCCTGTATCCTCAAATGTGAAAACCGAAAATTCCATGTGTTCTATGACATGGCTTTGTTGTCGCCTCAGACTTGACACCATCACATGATGAAAGAGAAACCCAGTTGGCCACACAACGACACCGAACAGCTGCTCTTCATTTCCCGTCGTTGGGTTTTCGTACCATAGCGACGATAGTATGATCCGGTCCATATGAATACCTGTCCAGATCCTCTTTGGGCACAAATCTACTAAGATTGCTGACGGTATAGGTTCCCGCATTTTCGAACCCCATCCTTTCGTACAGCTTGATTGCGGGATTATCGTTCTCTGTGTTGAGATACACCGGACACTTGCGTGCATCAGCCTGGCTAAAGATCCACTCAAGCAAGTGACTCGCCATGCCTCTCCCCCGATAATCCGGATGCGTTGCCAAATTCTCCAGCAACAAGTGATGCTGTCCCTTTAAAACCTGATGCTTCAGACGCCTTAGGCTCCGGGTGAATTCCAAGATAAGGTCTTTGTTGCTTTCCTGTGGAAGACTATATCTCATTTCAAAGTCCTCAATGTCGTCCATCTCCTGCTGCGACTGACAAGCGTTGGTGTCCAAAGCATCGGAAGCAGCGAAAGAGCATTGTGCGACTGCCAGGGCTGCTCCTGTTTCTCCATCTCGTGCTACAGCAATCATCATCTGCGACTGCTTTGTCTGTCGCGCAATTGCAGGCGACATTGCAGCAGCCAAGGTGGCCGGATCGACATGTCCAAACTGGAGTTGCGTGAACGGTGAGTTCCAGGATTGTGCGAATAGCGAAGCTATCGTGTCGGCATCAGTGGGCTTTGCTTTGGTTATGGCCCAATCCGAGGGCATGATTTAGTTGAGATGCATGGTAGAGATTTGGAGGGGAAATGCTTCTGGTAGAAGTCTTGCTAGTCACGACGCTAATGCGTTGTAGGTACATTCGCGTTTGAGACGTTGCTATCGTCATTTGCTGGAAATAAGGACATATGCAAATAACACTCGAGTCTCTTCTCTATGGATCTGAGTGGGAAATGAAGAGAACGTGAGCTATTTTTGAATCGTGTACAGGAGACCGTTTCCGTAGAAACGAATGTTTTGTAACTGTGAAAGCCACACCTACGATTGCAGTTTGTTTGTGATTGGAGTTCACATAGCGCGTGAACCACTTAAGCTTCCTTTGACCGCCTGATGGTTTAATTGGGGCGTGTGAGGGCTCTGTATAGATCGATTATGTAGTGTACATCTCAGTCTTAACTAGTGTACCGATAAACTAAGCACAGAGGCACGAGATTTGAAGAATACCATTGGACAGAATTCGGTCCATAAACTGTGCAAGGGGGTCTGATTAGGTGCACTTGTTACCTCTGTGTAGTCCATCGGCAAGGTCCTCTTCCCGAATATTCTGTAAATCATGGATGGTACTGGAGTCGAATCAAAACGCAGTCCTTCTCTCAGCAAGCGTGGTCCTGGACGACCATTCTTTATAGCCCACCAAATAAACCTGCTAGAGACTGACCGTTCCCTAAGATTTCCTTGCTACACTTTGTACAGTCCGGACATACACAAACCTAACCTGTACGATCCAGCCATGAGATTAATTCCCGGTGATACCGCTCACTATCCTGAACCTGGGGGCTATGGCCAAGATCGTTGAATTCCACTAATTCCGCCCCTGGAATCCTCGACGCTGCCTGCTTCCCCAAGACCTCATATTTCCCGAGCACATTTTGCACTTTAGGAGGAGACCACGCTTTGCCTATGGCGGTGGTATCCTTGGTACCAATCATCAACAGCGTCTTTGCCTTGACGAGCTCGAACTCGTATACCACAGGTTGTGTAAGCACCATGTCTGTAGTCTGGGCCATGTTCCAAGCAAACGTCGCATTCTCTCCCGCAACCTGATAAAGAGAGACGAGCATGTTGACCCAGACATCGTACTCTGGTTTCCAGGTGTTGACGTAGTACGTGGCTTGCTGGTAGGTGCGTATGGAAGTATAATTGGTTGCAAGCTCGGACTGATAAAGCAAATCCAGTGATCTCCAGGGAACACCGAGTGCTTTCCAGTCCTCGAGGCCGAGAGGATTGGTCATGATGAGGTGGGAAGTGATGTCGGGGTACATGAGCGCGAAGCGGGCTGCCAGCATGCCGCCCATGGAGTGACCCAGCACATGTGCTCGCTCAATCCCGAGTGATTGCAGTAAGAGCCGTGTGTTTTGAGCCAGCTGCTGTAGCGAGAATTGATATGCTGGCGGTTTCGATGACTTACAAAAGCCAATCTGGTCAGGAATGATAACCCGGTAGCCCCGCGAAGACAGCCGTTTTGCGGTGTCCTCCCAAGTCGCGCCACAGAAATTTTTGCCGTGGAGAAGGACGATTGTCGCATCAATAGAGGATGTGGAATTGACGGGTAAGACGTCCATGTAAGCCATGGATAGGTTCGCCCGCTGCGACGTGAAGCTGTAGTAGTGCAGTGGCCATGGGTATTGGAAATCCCATGCACTGGGCGCGACCACCGTCGCACTCAGCACAGTCGCGAAGAGTTGGGCGAGTGCAACAATCGGCAATAACATCGTGATGCCAATCCTCGACTAATTCTGGTGAAAGGTGTTGAAAAAGCTTGAGCATGCAAGAGCGCGAGCGACGTTTGATGTGGTGGGTGTCCCGGTACACCTTTATAAAACCAGTTTGGTGTAACTACCTGCGGCCTGTAGCAAGTCGCATGTACACATGCTGTATGATGACGCCTGCCATCATGTTTTTATGGGTCCAAGCATTGCAATGTCGCCTCTCATGCCACACAAGAGCTACCGGTGGTCTCAAGATTGATTATTACAACCCCAAGTATAGGCTCCCGCCATTAATCCTCCAATCAAAGTGCAGTTTGCATCTTGGGATCTGTACGAGAACAAGAACACCGAGTTCCGCAGCAAGGCCACTTACCGGTACATTGCCTATGCTTTTGCAGAACATCAGATTGGCAGTTTATCTCGATGCAGCTAACAGAAATTACTTTTACACAATGCCATGATATAAAATCACCTTGCAGATCCGGACGTACTTTGCTATCGAGACTTTTGGTCAGTACGCCAATGCTGAGGAGAGGCATCAAACTCAATACTGGCGCTCCTACTGTATTGTCTACTCTTCCTTGCCCATTCGGATATCACATCTATGACCACTCACGCGTAAATGCATCAACAGTTTGTCAATCATTACACGAAAATCTACCTCATTCCAAGCGCTGCTCTCGCCCAACAGGTTTCCATGTCCTCGACAAGAGTGAGGAAGTCGTCGTTCTCCAAATGACGGAAGATGAACTCATTCAGAGCAGCTCTACGTCCATCTTCCGACTGCATTGCATAGCCTCTCAGACCGTGGACGTCGTCAGCTTGACATGCTTGGGATGTTGAAGGGGCAAGATGAGTGTTTAGCATATTATCGAAGCTACGAGGAGGAGTCGAAGTGTTCAGTGAGGCAGCTCGTCGTGGCCCTTGGAGCGTATTTCCTGGCGGGAACACGGTCTCGGACCTTCTGGGAAAAGAGGGTGACGAACCAGGGGAAGAGCTGTGAATTGGTGAGAAATTCGATGGCCGTTGACTTCCCTTGTCCTGGTGCGCGAAGGAATCTATGCCTGAATGCATATCTTTGCTTGCATCTGGTGTACGAGGTGGCTTCTGCGCCGCTTGGAGTCGAGACTCAGGTTCCGCCAGTAGAGTCGGCTGGGCAGATTGAAGACGGTCAGTTTCCATGGCGCCATCACGAGCTGACGAAGGCCGCAGATTGGTCACACGCACTGGCAGAGGAGGTGGTCCCATGAGACTAGTGGAGGATCGACTAGATGGCTGAATTGTGTCGCTCCCTGAAGACCGTGGCGCAGATGATCGTTGGAAAGGTAGCTCTCGTCTTGGTGGTAGTGATGCCTCGGCGCTGTGAGAGCTACTCGATGGTGGTGAGGCATCTAAGCGAGTAGTGTTATGCCGCGAGGCTTCCTCCAAGGAGGACGTGAAGCTGTCTCTGGGTGGGAAGCCCGCGTTTGTCGAGGATTGTTGTAGCAATTCAGTCGTGGCAGATGAGGGTCGAGCAAAATACACTGGAGGAGTCAGAGGGCTAGAGGACAGGCCCGGAATAGTAGAATCTGCAGAATTGTATCCTGCAAGTGCAGAGAAGGGGCGTGAGTGTGCAACGTCCTGCAGCCGAGTGTGCGTAGGGACCGAGGCGTCAGAGGCTGAATAAGGCCGGCTGGCGATGTCTGCGAGGTGGGAGGGGGGACAGGACATTCCCCCAGGGAGGGCTTGATGAGGATAAGTAGTCGCTGTTACATTATGCTTCACTGGTAACCCTCGGGCTGACGAGGGAGTATAAGGTCGTGCGTTAGCCTGGGTATCATTGGAGGGAGTCATGCGAAGCCCAAGCTGATCAAGCTGGCTGTACGCGGCGTCGTAGTCCTGATTGCTTTTAAACTTGATTTGAGCACGGCGGACCTTTGTGATGTGTGAGTACGTGTGTATTTCCAAGAAGCTGCTCTTCTTTCTACCTTTTGGTTGGGCAGTTGCCAACGGATAGCTAGAAGAGGACAGCGAACAATAGCCGATATTGGCAGCTGATCAGTCTTGAGTGAAACACCACGCTGTTGCATGGCCCTCATCATGTCATCGCCCTCGCCGATCAGCCGTTGGAGTTCTATGAGTTGCTTTATTCAATCATCAGCTTCGGCCATGTGTGGAGCTACGGTTGCGCGGGCGTGCTGTGCAGTGAAGCATACCCTGACTTGGGTACCCTGCACCACCTTCAGCAGCTGCGACGAGCCGCTGCCACCATAGCTGTCAATAACAAAGGTGAGGTCATGAGTTTCATGCTGCCAGGTGAAGCTTTGTGCGTCAGGGTCAGTATCGAGTGCGACTGACAACTTGGCTAGTGGTAACGAGAGCATGTGGGAGTTAGCAGGCAGCTGTTGTGGGTAAGTGAAAGATCACTAGTGAAATCAGCCGGCGAAATTGCTGTGATGTTGATGGTAATGACGACGATGATGAGCCGATCGAATCTACGTCAACAGCTATGGGATGATGAAAAAGAATTTGCTATGTTGTATTGTGGCGATCTATGAACCGCGACCGTGAGAGACATGAAGGAAGGAGTTGACGATTGATGGAAGGGAGATCTCACGTGATCACGCACGTGCCATTACTTGCTGATTTGGGGAACTGCGACGCGAGGGCGGCGGCTTCCCAAATGTTCCTGCGCGTGTTTGTCGACGTTCCTGTTCCTGGCCAAGAGACCAACCCAAGGGAAGCGCGACTTGACCAGCACCACCACCACATCCGCCATAACCGCCATAAACACCATAAACACCATAAACACCATAGCAACTACTAACTACCCGCCATTGCTTCTGGCTCCCTTCACCCCCCGCCACCCTCGACCGATGCGACATCTTCCGCCCGACCCCCTCCCACGACTCGCATACTTCGCGCAATGGCCCCAACCCGTCCTCGCGAACAGTCCATTGAGCGCACACAGGAATATGAAGACTTTCTAGATACTCTGGCCGCATATCATGAGAAGCGGGGGTGAGTTTGCCTGTTGCGCGCATCCAGCTCGGGGAATCCCCGACTAACTGTGTGGGCAGGACTGTGTTCGAGCGTGAGCCCAGAGTCGCAGGCCGGCGCATCGACTTGCTGCGACTTTACAAGCGCGTCACTGACGAGGGCGGGTACGACAAGGTTTCTGACACCAAGGGCAACAAGCTTGCCTGGCGTAGAATCGCAGCCGAGTTCCTCCCCCAGGGCCCCAGTCTGACCACCCAGGCCTTCCTTATAAAGACGACGTACTACAAGAATCTGGCCGCCTACGAGATTGCGACGGTCCACAATCGCGAGCCTCCGCCCAAGGAAATCCTCGAGGACGTCTCAGCAAAGGGCGGCGACTTGCTCACCCGCACCGTAGACAATTTTGTTCCGCCCAGCAACCGTGAGACCGAGCGATTGCGCACCGGCGATGAGGGCGGCGAAGACGACGAGGAAGAAGACGAGGCCGATGCCGAGCCTAAGAAGACACCCAAGGATGAAAAAATGGACGTCGATGAGCCTGGAAGCCTAGGCCGTAGCACAAGATCGCTGCGTCAAGCGCCGCCGCAGCGTGTTCTGTTCCAGCCCGATGCCCCCATACGGCAGACGCGCCAGTCGACCGGCCACGTCCAATCTTCGCAGGCCAATGGCTATAACAACAACGGTGCAGCCATGTTAATTGCCAACTACGAGCCGCGCACCGCCGTTCCTGCGACGATGAAGCCTGTCGTCACACCCTCCAACAGCCTTGATTCGTACGTCCAGTCGCGCAAAAAGTACATAGTAAATAGGAAGAACCGGCCGGTGCCACTCAAGGGCATGATGCTGCCTGGGACTGGCTTCCCTGGGCCCAATATCTACATTCGTGCTCTGCATGCTCTGCGCTCGCGCGAGCCGGAAGAAGAGGCCTACGCGCTGCACCATCTGGTCAAGATTTCGCATGAACGCGGGGACAAGTATCGCTTCGACCAATTTCCCGGTCTTGCCGAGGCTCTCATTGCTAAAGTCATCGACGTCGGTTCCATTTTCTACGACGTGAACTGGGACATTTCCTATATCGAAGAAGAGTTCAGTCAACCACAGACACTGAATGGACTCTCGGGCACCAGCAACCTGCTGGATAAAATCAAAGCTCTCCGAACCCGCGCTCATCACGACAACTTGCTGACGGAGGAGACTGCAAAAGCACTCAACATGATCAACGAGGCTGCGCTTATTATCCGGAACATGGTTATGCTCAAGGAGAACGCTCTTTTTGTAGCCATGATACCAGCCATCCAGGATCTTATTGTGATTGTTCTGAACCTACCGAAAACATCGGCAGTCGTCGAGCTGCAGCATTACGCTCTCGAAATCGCTGAACAGCTGACCAAGTACTGGGTCCTGGGCGCGCAACACCCCCTATATCGCTCCCTGCTCGCCCAAGTCGAGTCCGATGATCGTGGCCGAATCATTACGTCACTTAGAGCCCTTGCACGGATAGCCATGGACCTTGAGGTGACGAACAAGCTGTCTAATGTACCAACAAAAACACTCAGGTCAATATGTGACTGGCTCCTTGTTGAGGATGAAGATCTCCGCATAGCTTGCTTGGACTTCCTGTACCTCTTCACCGGCTTCCCAGATAATGTTGAGACACTTGCACACGAAGTAGATATCGAAGTCGTTGTCAACCAGCTGGTACGCTTGCTGCAGTACAATGCCATAGCCTACGAAGAGCGCAGGAGTACGCCAAAGACGTCAAAACAATCAAACCCGCCAGAGACACCACCGAAACTATCAGCTGCAATTATCGACCACCTCGTCACGCTGGATGAACCAGAGCGGAGCTCACAGTGGCTCAAGACATGCTTCGAAGAGGATGCAGTTGGGGAAATCACACAAATTCAGTTGTGGTCAGCCTACAACGCTGCCTTTCAAGAGTCCATGGCTTCAAATCCTGCTTCTTTCAAAGCACTTATGCCGGCAAAGGATTTCATTACGAATGTTTCCACCACGTTCAGCAGTGCATCCGCTCAAGTGTTGACTGTGGCCGGACAACAAAAATATACCATTCGTGGGATAAGACCTCGGTCGATACCTGTAGACCCGAACACGAAAAAGCCATATATGCGCTGTTGCTGGCACCCCCCCAGCCTGCTTAATGGCCATGCAGACTCCAAACACTCGACTGTGAAAATTGAGTGTGGAGAGTATACTCCAGGCGCGCGAGCAATGTGGGAACACATTGTCAGCACCCATTTAAAAGTCTCACGTGACCAGGAAACAGGCCAATGGCTTCTCGAACCCAAACCTGATCTCGATATGGAGAACGGTGAGGCGGTATCGCTGAGCAAACCGACGATATATTACTGCCATTGGGGCGGCTGCACACATTTTCCCAATGGCACGCAATCTGCTTTTGAAGCTGGACAGCACATCAAAACCCATCTCCCAGACACTGGTATCAAGCACGCCATTCACGCCAAGTACAACCGCACGCCTTCGGAATCCCGACCCCTGACCTCATCCGCACAAGTACGACACGACGCCTTCCAACCGCAATTCGGACAGCCCGTTGGCCTGAGCAGTCTGGGTATGGGCGGTCGGCTCAACATGATACATGACAACAGTAGCTCGCACTCACCCAGTTCGACAGCTAGAAAAGGCGAGGACACGATGCCGTCTCACACCCACTCGACACCCAATTTCCGCTACTACAACACCCAAACCGACGAAACAAACGACGCGGCCGGTCTCCCGCTCTCTTCCATTCTCGTCCTCCGCAACCTCGCCCGCCAACTCAATCGCATCCCGCCCCCATCACGCGTCACAGACCTTGCTTCTCCCTCGCCACCATCCCGAACATCAACGCACAAGCGCACAGGAAGCGAAGGCGGTGAGGCTGCGCGCCGCACCGCCAGCGGCAAGAAACCCCGCCTCAGCGATGCAGCGAGGGAGCAAGCGCGTGAGGACGAGCAGCGCGAGGACGAGGATAAAAAGAACGTGGGCTGGGTGGCTAGGGCGTTTGCGCCTGTCAGGGAACAGTTGGGCTTCGTGGCTAGTCACAATTTGACTTTGAAGAACTACATGAGCGGCCTGTTGAAGGCGGTTGCTGACGGTGGGGCATGAAGATGCTGGTGAAGCGGTTTGCATCATAACATGGTGGTGGTGATGTTTCTGCGCACGAAGAAGGGATTCTCATCAGGCGTGGCTATTCTACATGGCTAAATTCGAAAGGAATGGGTGTTTTGGCCGTTTTTCAACTTCTTCGCGAGGGAATGATTATGTATGTGGTAGCCTAGACTAGCTAATTTTTCACTTTCGAGTGCCCCCCTCAAAAAAAGAGTCGACAAATGAAAGTTCTGGTCTGGTTGACGGGGTCACAATATCAAAGGCCGAGTCTCTTAGCACGGTTTCAACTCTTTGCAGCTTGTTCTCCAAGGGTAAAGGTTTTGATGCAATAAAAGCCCTTTCTTAACATTCAATGTCTGCTAGTCTGCTCACCGACCACATAACCACTCGCAATACCACTCCTCCCCTCTTCCATCTTAGCTGCGTGTGCACGCCCAGTAGGATGCTGTCCTTCTTCCCCTTCTTGTGTCTGGTAATCGCTGCCCAAACCCTGCCAAGTTCGCTGGGAGCGAAGGTACGCGGCACCCGGTGACATAACGCCTCCGACAGCGGCAACGTCTGCTTTTTGTCTCATTGTGAGCGCGGAGCTGGTGGTAGGTGTAGAAGTTTCCTTGGGGAGGGTTTGTTGCATGGAAACGGTGTTGGTGGAGCGCATGGGACGGGAGTGAGAGACGTAGCGACCTGTTCTCAGATCGAATTCGGGGGGCGCGGATTCCTCCTCAGAGTCGTAGTCCCCATTTTCGTGCTGCTCGAGGTCCTGCCCACTTTCCGTGCTCTCCGTTGCGGTACTTTCACCACCCGCTTCCCCCTCATCGGATTTTGCGTCCAAGACGCGCTGGAAATCCGCCTCCCAAGACCCCGTCCACACACGCTCATCGTCGCTCTTCAGTGCAACACCCAGCTCCCAGGGCGTAATCATCGGCCTCCAAAACTCCTTGCTTTCGATCAGACTGCTTTCCCAGCACCCAATCACCACCCAGCCGCCCACTTCACTGAAGTTGGCCACTTTGGCGGCGTTGACTTTGCCCACAACAAAAGTGTATGACTTCTTTCCGGCAGCGGCAATTTGGCGCTGGACATGCGACAGGATGTGCATGTAGTTCTTCACGGAGAGGGTGTTGATAAGAATGCCGAAGACGGGGGTTGTGGCGAGTGAGGTGAGGAGGGCGTAGCGGCGGCGGAGGGATTGGGCGGCATTGGCTTGGGAGGCGGGTGGGGTGGGCGACATAGATGTGGTAGGATAGATGTGGATGGAGGCAACGCGGGAGGAAAGGGTAAGGAGGAGGGCGGTTGGCGGGTCCGAGATGTGGAAGAGGGCGTAGGAGCGAAGCCTGTCTTCTGTGTCGGCTCCAGGAGGGATGGTTCGATTGGGGAGGAGGGAGGAGGGATTATGGACAATCCCAGTAGCGTATGTGTTCGTGTAGCCTCTGCTGTGTAGTTCGTTCTGTAGTATGGGGACATGGTGCGAATAGGGTATGTCTGCCATGAGTATGATTTTGGCTTGCTTGTCTGGGTATGTCTGCTGGAACGTGGCAACCATAGCATCGACATCTAAGGGTCGCTCCGTGAAGACATAGATGATAGGCAGCCTTGAGGGCGGTGAGAGACAGGAGCGCCCATAATGAACCACGACGTCGGCATCGACATGCTCCGCAGCCACTTCGTCGACACAACACGAGCCATATGACGTGTCGCCCAGTATGAACAGTCTCTCGGTCGTCTCTTCGACAGTTCCATCCGCGAGAGGCTCTTGGTCGCTCTTCTTCTTTTCCTTCTCCTGTTGCTGCTGTTTCAGTGATTGCGCCAGTGTCTTCCGCAATTGCTCATAAACCCTGGGCCCATCGGTGAGCATGTGATCCGGGAATTGCAGGGCAATCCTTTTGTATCTTCGAGCACGGATCTCGCGAACAGTACGCTCGATCTCATAAGTCAGAGATATCTGCTCGTCCGACAATGTTGTAACACTGCTGCCCGTATCTGCTACGCCTGTGTCATGCTCGAAGATGTGCGTATCTGGCGTGGACAGCACCGGCGCACTTCCCAACGGCGCACATGTAGTCGCCATATGTCGTGTAGTCACCTACTTTGTGGTTCTGTGCTTTTTCCAGGTTGCCGTGTTGTGCTGGTGGTGTCGCGGGAGGGTGGGGTACTTTTTTTTTGACGGTACCCCTCCTATGTCATAACCTAGACGCTCGTGGGTGGATTAGTCCGGGCGGCGGTAACATAACTTCTAGGGTAGGCAGGGCGTTGTATTGATTGTTTTTACATCATTTTATTCAGCAGGGGCTAATACCCTTTAAGCGTCTAAGAGAAACTAACTCTCCCTGTGTTGCAGCGCAACTCTAGCTTAGTAAGGTAAATCAACCACCTTTCGAGATACAGTTACACATCACTGTTAGCTTTCTTTGCAGTTTTTTTTGATCTCAAAAATCCCAATTTTATAAGTAAATGTTTAATGTCTACTAGCCTAAAATTTCCATAGACGTTACGTAGATATTGGCAGGCAAAGTCCATTACTAAACTGACTTGCCCCCTGGTTTCGCGCATGACGGGTCTACACAGCAGAAATGGACAATAGTCATGCCCTTTACCACATTGTGTAGGCCTTTCCAGGCAGCGATATAATTTTAGGAAACTAAGCAGCATCGTTCCCACGGAATACTTGCAATAGCCCTGAAAGCCCTAGCTGCCAACTCTAGCGACATGCAGCATGTATTGTGCCGTCTTACAAATTGCCTATCCCCAAACGCCACTCTGCAAATGCTCCGCATCTTATATATCATAGTAGTACGAATAGCATGATGAGACAAGGGTGCTACTCTAGCACCAAAGTCTAAACCCGAATTACGCCAATTTAAGACCCTGCATGCAGTCTTATCCTACGCAAGCCCTCTGCTATGCTTTCTTCGACCTTGCAAGCTTTTTGAGGAAGCTATTCTTGACACCCTTGGTCCCCTTGATCTCCTTGTTCTTGCTCTTGTTATACTCGATGTAGGCCATGGTCTGCCCTCCGGAGAGTTCGGATAGCGTGCCGGCCGCCCTCCTCACCCCAGTATTCTTCTTGCCCCTGCTGGCAGCATACTGGGTTCCAAAAGCATCGCCTGCGATTGTCTCCGTATTGCCAGCATCATCGCGAGCAATGAGAATCTCCAAGAGGAGCTCTCTTCTTTCTTGTGGTGTCGAGAAGTGGAGCTTTTCGTACTTTTCCAAGCCCTCGAGCCGGGTGATGACCTTGAAGGCATAGCCCTGATCGACGAGGAAGGCTTGACGTTTGGACGAGTAGTACATTTCGTCCGTGTCCTTGGAGACTAAAGAATAGAAAAATGCATTAAATCCTTCGTCATTCCTTCGTTTCGCCCGTAGAATGCGCCCTAGGCGCTGTGCTTCTTGACGTCGTGATCCATAGTGCGACGAGATCTGAATGAGGCACGTGGCCTCGGGTAAATCTAGGCTGGTATCTCCAATCTTGGACAGAAAGATGGTGTTGATTATGTTATTATGTTGGAAGTTTTCGAGAATTTGAATACGCTCCGCTTGCGGTGTTCCGCCGAAGATGTAAGCTTTGTTGAGCTTCACCGCGTACGCCTGTAGCGCGTAGACATTGTCAGAGAATACAATGATTTTGTCACCGCGTGACTCGTGGTAGTTGATGAGATATTCGCAGGCCTGAAATTTCTTGGGGTTCATAATGGAGAGCAGTGCTCGTTTTTGCAACGACGATGGCTTCAACCACTCGGTATAGAACTCCGGTGTCATTTGACACCAAACCTCAGCACACTGCACCCTGGCAATGTGACCCTGCTCAGAGAGCTCTTGCCAGTTGGCTTCATAAAGTTTGGGCCCGATGAGGAAATTGAGATCGTCAATCTTGTCATCTTCTCGAAGCAGTGTTGCTGTAAGACCGAGCTTGGCGTGCGACGCAATCTCATATGTGACCTTCTTGAAGATATTGGCCGGAACAACGTGCACTTCGTCAGCAATCAGCAGGCCCCACTCCCGACTACGAATGAATTCCATCACTTTCTCAGCATCGTGTGACCGCTTGCGAGCGTTGCTGATCATAGAGTATGTGCTCACAATGATACCTGCATTGTTGGGGAATCTTGTCTTGCTTTCTGCCGTGAAGACAGCAATATCGGCGGGATTGATGTTGGACCATTTGATGAATTCTGCTCGCCATTGAACAACCGACATGGCACTGGTACAGAGGACGATGACAGACTTTTTCACCCCACAAGCAGCTGTGATGCCGACAAGAGTCTTGCCGGCGCCACACGGCAACACGATGATTCCCGATCGCGCGCGAGAGTTGGAAAACATCTTACTCAATGCCTTCTCTTGATAGTATCGAATCTGGGCGTGGGGCTTGAGATCGATGTCGAGTGTAGCGTTGTTGAAATCATTGTTGAAATCATACTCTTCTGTCAGCGGCAGACCGATCGAACGACAGCGTTTCACCACTCGCTCTCGATCCTCACTTTTGATCTGGAACGAGTGTACTTGCGCCACGTCGTCATCATCATCGTCTTCTCTTAATGTGACCATCATATCGTTTGGTGCAGGCTGATCGACGACGGTTTGCTGCTGCTGCTGCTGCTGCTGTTGCTGCGCCGCGGCACCAGCTGCCATTTTTGTGCCAGGAATGACCATTTGACCAAGCTTCGGCGCAGCCTCTTTAATGAGCCCTCCAGAGGTATCTGCCCTACACTCGGCCACGATGGGGTCGCGCAAGAGCTTCTGGAGTATGGCCGCATCTTCACTTTCGATGTAAGAGAGAGTCTGTTTCAGCACAATCTTTGCCTTGCCGAATGCTGACGTTGACTTTTGTATGAAGCCGACAATGGTATCAGACAAGGCTGTCTTGGAATACGTGTCTAGTCTGTCAATAATTTCCTTGCTGGAGTGGCCAACGCTAACAGCTGCAAAAAGACTGTGCGTGGTAAGCTGGTACTCGTGCATCTTGGAGACACGCGACTGCGGTTCGGCGATGTTGATCAAGAAGTCTTGAGCCTCGTCAAAGAGGGGATGAAATGACTCGAGGATGATTCCGCCTGCATCGTTGACCCAAAGAGGGCGGTCCTGGTGGTCAGGCTTCAGCGGCGCGTTCCACTGGTCAGACTTCCTGAAGAGGTCTGCTGCAGCATCTCTGACCCGGCCAGCTTTTGCGCGCTTCGTCATGGCTTTTACATCAAACTCTTCCTTCAACTGATCGAATGTCTCCTGGTCACTCATGGGCGCCTCATCCTGGTCGTCCCATCCGTCCTCGGCTTCAGCATCAGCAGCCGTCAGTGCCGCTGCCTTGCGCTTAGGCGCCATACTGGCGAGTGGCGGGCTTCGAAGCTGGGGAGATAGGTGGTAGAGTGGCCCAGCGTCAAGTATTGGATACGGTCGGCGGAGTCGAGGGAGGATGGATGACCTCAGCTGCGGGGTGGTGCGTCGTGTTGGAGGGGTGGATGTGGGGTGGCGGGGGTGGGATAAAGATGTGATGGATGGATACTGGCACTATCCAGGCATCTATCTGATGACGGATGGACGACGAAGATGACACAATAGGTGATTATGTAAGCGCAATCCACAGTGTGGCTAGTGAGAAAGTATGTGTGTGTGTGTGAGAGAGAGAGAGAGAGAGAGGAATGTCGGTGACAATGTTATTGGTTCAAGGACCAAAGGGTTTGGTAACGAGACGTGGGGCTGACCAGACGCGTCGCCGCCGAGTCACGAAAGCATGTGAGCGGATGGTCAATAAGCGCCAGGGTGGGTAACGTTTGCCTTGTTTGCAACACCGACGTCAACCTTGCCCCTACTCTAGAACCACACACTCTCTCTGGCGTGCTCTTACGCTAGATTCTTGCATTTCCAGATTGCGCCCACGAGCCCGTGACATGCGTTCAAATGGGCGCGTCCGACTCGAAACTCAGCTTCAAGCAGGGCATCTTCCGCCTGTCTGAGCCCAGGCAAATTCCCGCTGATGATACCTACTGGACCGGCGTACGCCCCGCTTGACGTGCCTCATAATTCATTCCAGCAGCTGTGCTAACCATGGCGCCAGTTCTGGGAGCTCCCCGAGTCCACTGAAGACGTCTTCTCGCTCTTCTCCCCTGCTGATATCCGCCGCACACGTGACCATAATCTTGCCAACCTCGAAACCCTCATCCTCGCCGTTACCTCACGCTTGATCGTCCTGCGCAACCACCCCTCCTTTCCAGACCCTGAGCTTGCGCCAGAACGAGATGCTCTCAATTGCATCCGTGTACTGACACGCCTCCTGCCCTTTATCTACGAGGCCGACCACCTGGAAGCATGGGAAGACCAATTCTTCTGGGCGGCGCGGCGGAAGCGCAGTCGCCGTGGCCAGCTTGTCCGCAGTGAGGTCATCTTCGACGAGGCAGAGCCAGAGCAAACTCCAACCGAGAAGGAACCCGAGTTTCGATATTTGGCCCGTTGCCTCTGTCAGGACACCAAACAGAAGCCTC